AAATAATAATTTGTGAATCAAGCAAATCCTTGAGACAAAACACTTCCCTTGAGTGTTGGTGCTCCCTTTGATTTCCTCAACTGGCCTAGTTCACAGCCAGCACATCCTGTTGCGAGGCTTCTGGCTCTCTCTTCTAACACTAATCTTCCATTATTTATGTTCTGATAGGCTCATTTAAACTTGTCTCCACACCAACCTCTGTGATTACCATCTCAAGTATCATAAACTTCAATGTTCCTTAAGTGGCGCTCTGCCTCACCCTCTCCTGGTTACTAAAACCTTTCTAGCTGCCAGATCTGTGATCTTAGCCTGGGACAGTCAGGGTGTTCTGGGTGTGAGGAGTGTATCCTGGGCACATGAGTCACTTTCTAATGTAATGACTTCATTTTTGTTATCCCAGAGGAGGTCAGCAGGCGTATTGACATTTTATCTACTGGCTCTAGCAAAAAACAGTGTGCTGCTGTACTATTACACTGGATCCTGAAAAACTAACTAGAGGAACTTAATCAGATCTTTGTAGACATTACACACCACCCTTATAAAACAAGCTGCCTTTAACTAGGGCAAAGCTGAAGTGGGTCTTAAAAGGTTAAGCATTTAACTAGGGTTTTTTTTTTTTTTCTCCACTTTAACCTGAACTTGACTAGGAAAGGTCAACCACATCACAGTCTGACTTACCTGGAACAAGTTTATGTTACTTAAAATTTGGTTGATGAATTATGAAAGCAGCCACGATCTTTGAGAGTTCTAGTATATTCTGCATAGACATTTAAAAAAGGTGTTTATTTTTAGGAGAGGTGGTACATAAATTACCCTTATTCTCATCATTACAAACTCTTGTTTTGCCTACATGGGCTCTAATTTAAAATAAGATATTATGAAAATAAGTCCTCCAAGACCCCACTCCCAAATTTAAAAGCACGTAAATCTTTGTCCATGGCCTCAATTGTCATGTTTTCTGCTTCAGACCACTTGCTATGCTCCTCTGGGATTTGGAGAAATTTGCTCAGAATCTCCTATTCATCTAATTAGTCTTTGGGGAGCAAGATGAAAGGAAGGGCAGGAGAGAGATGCTTCATATGGCTGTTTAGACCACACGATGTAGCTTATCTACTAAAGAATTTGTGACATGAAAATAATGGAACAGAAGGAGTGAGCTCTGTGAATTCACAGGTTCTGTCTTCACTTAGATAAATTCACCATTGAGCCACTCCTATTCCCCTATTCTTAATGAAGGAAGAATTAGGAAAGGACATATATAACAGGGTCATCTTTCCAAATGGCTTCAGAAAAAGTTTCCTAATCACAGCATCCTAAAAGTTGGAAATATATTGGGGTATAGGAGGACTTGACAGATGAAGTGTGAGAAATTTCTCTCTTGCCACCTGATCCCAGCTGGAATTTCACTGGCTGTGTCATTGATTGAACAAAACAGAGCATAATAGCCTCTGGCTGAAGATTTTTTAATTGAAGCTGAGACAGAGTGGGCCATGTGCATGTTTAGAACAGTGATTGCATTGTGAATTACAACAGAAGTCCCACTTGTCAGTCACACAATGTTTAAGACCATAGAAAGGCATCTGATTTGGGACAGGGATGACAAAATGGCTCTTTTGGTTTTCCCCACTTTGCCCTGAATACAAAGGGACTGATGACTGCTTTGTTCTGGGATAAAGTCTTACATTCCTTTTAGGATCTACCCAATCATTAATTGAGGAAAAAATTCCATTCTGGAATCACTCCTACTACTTTCTGAAAGAAGTGGTAAAGATCTTTAGTCTTTATCACCCAATGGGGAAAGCAAGCAATATAAATAATATCACGCCAGATTTTTTGCTTTGTTTGCTAATCATCACTTTTTCTTAACTTTAGTGACTGCCTCACTGTTAAATAACATTGTAAATTAATATTATGTAACATGACTCTGAATTGACAATATCCAACATGTAAAATGCCTCTACCCTTTGAGCCAGGAACTACGTTTTGAGAATTTAACAGATAAACTGAGAAATGTGAAAAGAACCCATTTACAAAGATAATCTTGATGGCATTATTTGTAATGTCCAAAGAATGAAAATGACTTAAAAATTCATCAACATGGAATTGATTAGAGATTACTGTACAATACACAAGGAATGGGGTGTAAGTTTAAAGTCCAGGTCCAGTCCTTGTCATGAACCCTGGAACCCTGACTTTTTTCTAGTCTTTATTTGGTCTGCTTAATCAGTTGCTATCCCTGCATAAGGAAGTTACAATAACAGGCAGTAGAGATTGATGAAGTGGGTGCTTTTCCTTCAATTTTTACACTAGTGAAAATTACTATTAGCAGTGAAAACTGAATGGAAAACTATTAATGCTGATAGGAAAAGGAAGTAAGGAATCTTGACTAATTCTGTTCCATTTCTAAATACTCTATTGTCATCTTAACGGACTGTTTCTAGACTTATAGGATATATCTGTACCTCTTGGATATATTATACTTACCAGGTTAAGTGAAATCTGATGTTATTCTTCTAATGACTAGAGGTTTATATCCATTTGAGCACAGTGCATAAAAATGCTGAGTGAGTATTTTTGTTAGGGGGAAAAAGATGTCCTAAAGCTAATTCCATACAGGATTTGTGGACTCCACCCCTACTCCAGACCAAAGCCAAAAGACATTGGGAGAGACAAATCCCATCACCAGCAAAGGGAAGGTGGCTGGGACCTGAGGGTGGAGTTAAGCAGCCAGGTTTGGTATAAAAACCAGACACGTGGGCTTTGGGGGAATTCCCTTTTTGGCTCTCCGCCAGCTTGCATCGCTAGGCCAGCTCTGAGAGTGCCTTTGGGTTTCCAGGTCGGCAGATCGGGTAGGACGCGTTAAAGACTTTATTTCCCTATTTTCTCCCTGAGTTGTATATTTTCCTTATTTCCTTTTCCCTTGTAAATAAACCTTTTATTAACCTTTTGTGTGTGCCTGGAGTGGAGTATTAATAAGTCCCTTTTAAGCGCGCAGGTGAGGACCCACAGCCAGGCAACTCATTTTATATCGGGGCTGCTCAGTAACATTTTCATGTCTTGTTTGTGGTTCCTGAAACCAAAGGGTCTAAGAAACTCCTGGATATAACAGAGATTGATGACTGCCATGTCAGTCTACTGCTGACATGTTGAACAGAGGAAATAAATCATTTTGCTAAAAATATGTCTGGCAGATGGCACAAAGGTCTAGTTGTACAGTGCTGTCAACCAGTGTTGGGGGATAACAACAGAAAGGCTTTTTGTACATACCTTTCTTTTATAATTTATGATAAACTTATTTGTCTTCACTACTATATTGTAAGCAACTTAAATTCAGGGTTGTTTTTTATTTTCATATTCTCAATGACAAACACATGTCTGATATATAACAGGTACTTTATAGTCTTCACATTAAATTCAAAAGTACAGTCTGAAAACAAATTAAGATAATAGTTCTTAAATTTACTAGGGATCCTGTTCCTCAGATAAAATGCACACATCCATCTACAACAAAATTTCAATATAACTTCAGGGCAATCATGCACACCTATCTGTTCTTTCTCCCCTCTATAGATCTCTGAGGGCACAGGAGAGTCTAGATTCAAGAATACCCAGGTTTAGATACATAATCACAGAGAGAAGCAGAGGAATCTTTAGAAACATTCCCCATCTCCCAATTTTGGTTTTACAAAAACTATGTTGGTTTCATCAATCTCATACAGAAACTAACTACACTTAATTTACTTCAGTACACTAAAAGGTCTCTTGTGGAAGGTATAAAAATAATTATGTAGTTTTTGATTCATTTATAAATTGGATATTTTGCAGTTCTTGTAGAAAAATATGTCTTTATAGCCAAAGGTAATTTTAAAGGTATGTTATGTAACACTTATGGACTATTCACTATGAGTCAAGGAGATAAAAATAATGACTCAAAGATAAGAGTGTGGTGGAGTGCAAACATAGTAAACTGGGTATTTGAGTTAGATTTTCACGTGTGTGTGTGTGATGAAGACAGTGAGGGCAGAATGGGCAGAGAGCAACTATACATTCTGCAAAGGAAGAAAATGAATTTTTATTCATTCTGTTTGTATTATGGTCAGTGTTGGTCATGATGACTATAAATCTCCCATCCTCAATTACCAGCTTATCCACAAGAAGGGTGATGCTATGCTCTGGATGAGTGCTCGCAGATTATACATCAGGAGTAATCCTTGCAGTATAAGGGAGCTACAACCAACTAAGTGTCACGTCTGAAATCTCGCATGTAAACATTTCTTTCACTTGGTGATGTTTCTCTGCTGATGCTTGTTAATTTTGCTGCTTCTTAAACTTTGGAGATAGCTCAAAGCTGATTTGGAATAAATATCTGCTCAAAGGAAAATCCCTTCTGTAGCACTCTGGGCAGGTTCAAGCTTTGTTTGAATATTCATTTATAGCATTAGTACATATTTGTAACCAACAATAATGATTAGAAAGGGCTTTCTCAGACTGAAGTAAAGCCTCCTTACATTTTCCAACCATTTCTCTAAGCACTGGCTTCTGAAGCAATACAGAATAATCCTATTCTCTCTCCCATACCCTTCAAGTTTTTAAAAAGTTATCATTTGTATTTCTAAATTTACCTCTACATTGAACTACTCTAATTCCCTTATGTATTCCTCTTGAGAAGTATTTTCAAAGTTATCAACTCCTGTGCCTCCAAACAGTGAAATACTTGTTCAAAGACTGCTTTGAATGTGATACCTAGAATGGAACACAGTATTCTGTGGTTGATCTTACCACATCAGAGTCCAGCAAGATTATTCTTTTGATCTGGACACATCCTTCTATCAATACACTCATACAAAGTTTTAGATTTTTCTTCCTGTTCTCCTCCCCAGGTGTGCTGTATTATGGATTTATATTGGAATATGGTAAAATGAAACTGCTAGGTCTTTTTTTTTTTTAAAAAACTAGCAACACTTTTTTTTTTAAGATTTATTTATTTGTTTATACAAGCACTGGGTACAGTCAGAAGCGTGGGAGGGTGAGAGAATTCACCAGAGCCAGAGCGGGGAGCAGAACAGGCAGACTGACGATACACTGCTGTAGGGAGCAGCAGGCATGGCAGGAGAAGTCTGTCGCACCATGTGGGACCCTCGCCTGCGGCTGGGGATCGAACCAGCACTGCAGAGGCTGCAGGCAGCGTCACAGCGCTGTGCTCAACCGCCTGCGCCACCAGGGGAGGCCCTGCTAGGTCTTTTTATCTGAGTACCACTATCAAGTAGTCAAGTTTCCCCTTCCTTGACCTTGGCAATGGAAGACATTTAATTTCATCTTAAATTTGTCAGCACCGAAATAATTTAAAATCTCAACATCATCATAATTAACCATTTCAGCTTGGTTATCTTCCATTTTGGTAATATCATCTATGAAATTTTTTGTGTCTTCATCCAAAGGACTGAGAATTTTCCTCGGTTTTATGTGAATAATTACTCGCCACTGCAATTGTTTCAATAACTAGGATCTACCTGACAAATGATTATCCAGCCATATCTTCCAACACAGCAAAAATGTCAGTTAGAGATACTGAATGTTTTACTGGCTTTAGTGAACACTATTCCCTTAAACTAGTATTAGCCATACAGTTTCTCTGATGACAAATGCTAGAGACAGGTTACCTTTATTATGGCAGTAAAATTTTAGGTGAATCTTCAGACAAATAAGTAGCTAACATGGGTGTCAACTCATGTGACCAGAAACAGGGAGCCTATGTCATATTTACCTCTTCCCTTTTCTTTTATATACATAGTGAACTGGTTACATTGAGCCTATATTTTAATAGGAAAGACAATTACTAGGAAATTCAACCAAATAAAAACTCAAGACTCACTCACTGGAGAGGGCTATGTGAGACATTAGCTCAATTTTTCAAAACATTTTTTTGCAAGATATTTATAACCTTGTAAGCATGCTGGATAAGGCTACTTTAATCTAGTATATAGATTTTATAACCTTTACCCTATCTTGATACGGTATTAGAAAATCACCTATATGGGTGTTCTCAGTGGAAATTTCTCCATTAAAGATGAATAGACAAATAAGCTTTGGACATTGACTGTTTTTCAAGGAAAATAAAAGCATGTATGTCTTTTTTGCTTCTATTTTCACCAAACATTCACAAGAGAAGGCATATTCAATTTTGAGGAGCTATCCAATTTCTGATGTGATACACATAATTGCAGTAATGTTTTGTTGAGGGGAGAATGAAGTCTTGGTCACTGCATCTATTCAGATGAGATAGGGTTTCTCTTTTAATACTCCTTGGGATTCAGTTAACTATGCCTAAACCTGATTTGGGGGATTAGTATTTTAATGCATTTCCTTGGAGCATAAAAAATTCTTAATGTGCATGATAGGGAAAAAAAAAAAGGTCATAAACCAACCAGCTGATCCATTGGACTGGGGAGGCAGGATCAGTACACACACAAAGTCTAAAGACAAAATGGTAAAGGAGAAAGTCAAGTTATTACCTACTAGTTAAGGCAAATAAAGAGTGCAAATACAAAATGATATCAATATTTTTTAAGAACAATTTTTTCTATTTAGTCCTCTTACACAATGTAGTTTTTCATGTCTAATAAGCTATAGCTGGCCAAATTTCATTATATTAGCTTTAGAAAGGCAAGAGTTTGATATAATGCACAGGTGATAATACCTATCTAAGTAACATCATTATTTGTACCAGAGGAAAAAAATTCTATATTAGGTGGCATAACATCAGGATTTTTCTTTCTCTTCTCTGTAGCATCTTAACATTAAACCCTCAGGAATCAGGCCTACTTGATATTAACGTAAAATTTTTAACAACTTACCATAGCAACACACAAGACCTCCAAAACCTGAAAGAGAACAAAATATCCTGGACCAATAACCAAAGGAGACTTTCTTATATGTGGCTCAGTCCATAAATCTGAAGTGCAGGTTGACCAGTAACAATTGTCTTAGTTTGCCGCTGCTTAGAGAACCTGCCAGTTTATGCTTTGATCTGGGGGGGATGAGAAAGGTAGATGGCTGCATTCAAAAAGGCTTAATAAAATAAGCCCTTGGTTTTGAATTATATTAGAGACCTTTTTTAAGTGAGTACTTGATTTTGTTGCTCTTTTTGGGTAATTTTAAGTGTTCAATGTGGACCCTAAATAAAAAAGAATAACATAGTGCTTTTGTTCTCTTATGCATTTCAGTTCAACACTAAGCATCAAAGAAATGTGAGCTCATTCTTCTGGGTAAATAATAATGTAACTTTATTGTGTGCAGCCTTTTTCACACCAAGTATTAGTTTTTTTCATATGAAATAAGTTAAGATTTAAAATGATATAAGTTGCTTTTAAGGAGGTACATTGGACAGTAGAAAAAGCTGAAGAGAGTTTTTGTCGAAACTGGAGAACATTAACAGTCTGGGGAAAAACAAGAAAAGTACCACAGGTTGCTAAGACAGACCAAAAAGACAGCTGTGGGGACTGGAGGCAGAGCTGTTCAGTGAGTGTGGGAGAGAGAAGGGCCAGGCGATTGTCTCAGAAGGGAGGGTAGGATTTCGTGGGGATGTTTAAGGTATTTGCTTGGCAGTAACAATCTTAGAATTTTCTTCTCTGTTGCTATAGTTCTTGACTTTTTTTTTGCGTTCTATAATTCCATAAAAGAATATAATGCTTTTTTTTTTTTAAATTTAGCACAATGTTCATTTCAACTGGAAAATAGAAAAGTTCTAATTTTGTCTTTGGCCAGCAAAATCGAACTTTATTGGGGAACAAATGAATGACTGATGCAGTACACACACAAAGTTTAGGTTTTTGTAATTAAAGAAAATTTTTATTATCCTGTTTCCTTATTGAGTAGATTCCTTTAGGGAAAATAAGTATAATGAGTTTATTGGTCTGCTGTGATTGGGACTTAGAACCACGGTTAACAGAGTCAAACAGAGATTCAAAGGTTCACTTAAAATAAAACTTGGCAGACAAAATGGGCTACTGAAGTGCCTCCTCCTCATGTCTGCATTGAAGCACGTATAGAACACTTGGGAGCAACTCTCCTCAAACACTTCTGTCCAGAATCCACTACTCTTTTAGAGATTCTGAACTCTCCTGTGCCTCAGCACCTCAGCTCTCTTCCCATGGCACTCCAACAGCCATTTGTGACAGGCCCAAGTGGACCTTTGGGTAAGGTGGGCACTGAAGGAGGCACATAACTGTATTATGTGCCTTATGACAAAAATGAGAAGAGAAAAATATCCTTGGACTTGCTTCAGTGTTCTAATTCGTAAATATGCCAAAAGTCTGATAATCTTATATGCTAATGTGGAAATGAACCTTTGATACAAGATATAAAACCCTGAAATAGATGTTAGGTCAGTTTCAGTTAAAACCTACAATTCTTTTGTACTCTCTGATGTTACTTTCAACAGAAAAGACAAATCCAAATGGAGGAACATAATTTAAGTGTGGGAGACATTTGAGACTCATGAGGCCTGCAATACAAAGATAAATGCATTACCGAGGCACAATCCCCCGGCCCTGAGGTATGCACGCAAAGGGGTCACAAGTCACTGCGAGACAGAGTCAAAGTTGATGGCAAGACTCCAAGAAAACATTTACCAGAGGAATGTGATGATTCATTTATCAGTCCAGAAATCCTAAGTAGAAAACTTCAAGATATAAGAAGGATCAAATTATATAATGTATATGATTCAATTTAAAAATTCTTAGCCCTCTTACATTATCTAGATTACAATAGTAAAAAATCAAATTACATTCATATGAAACTTTTATAAAAAGAAATCAAATTCATTTTTATGAAATTTATAGTACAACCATTTTCTGATGGGTTTTCTTAAGTCACAGTATTTATAATTCCATTTACATCTGTATTTTCAAATAAAAAAACAAAAGGAAGTCAATAGAAATCTAAATTTTCATTTGCAAAACTCCCTTCAGTTTCCAGGCCAGCAACACATGGCGATGTTGACTTGTCCTCCAGACATGGATCGCTACCAAAGATCCCCAGTTTACAGACCATGCAGGCCTCTACTCATTAGGAACGCTTTTTGGTTTGGCTCACGTTTCAAGAAATTTTGGAGCATGTCCATGCCGTCCAGAGATCCTCCAGGTTTCAGGATTAGATTTCTGTATTTCATTCCAACCTAATAAAATAAAACATCAAGCCTAATAATTCATTGTTATAGCAATTTTCCAAATATCTAGATGTAACAGAGAAAGGGGTAGGGGTGAAGAAAAAGGAACTTTAGCTTTTCTGTCTGGATATTCCCTTTCGCCTAACTACAGCTCTGTATATTTATTTACTTTGGTAGCTAAGTGATCTCGAGCTAGACTTCCGGTCCTCTGCACTCTCCCTTAGTACTGTCCTTCTCCTTAGAGTCTCAGCAGTGAGTTGATAATGTGGCAAGTAGACAGAAGAGACAAATGGGATAGATAACTGTTTCTTATTTATTACCCCACCTTAAATGTAATTTCAAAAGGATTAGCCACATAAGTGTTCAAGAAGGTTATAAACTGGGGTCCCACGTACCTGGAAATAGTGGCACAGCCATATCCAAAATGGCTTTGGCTCATAAAAAAAGCCCTGATCTTTATGTCAGGGGTGGAGTGGTGGTGGAGGACAATAGCACGTCTACCATGACACAGGGTAAGGCATTTCTGCAGGCCTAACATTAGGTATAGGAATCTGTGAAAAGTTTTCTTCGGGGATTGGGTCTGGAATTTAAAAATATATCACAGTTCCTCTGCCTTTATTTACCTAAATACATGAGCAGATAAAGTGAAAGAAAACAACTAATCCAAGATCAGTATAATTCAATATTTTTACTTGCTTTTTACCATGTTAAGGGAAGCAAGGCCTGACACATCAATGAAACAATTCTAAATATACTTACATATAAGGTAAATAGTTCACAGAGTAACACTCTCAAATTTATATCCATGACATCCTTTGATCGGTAGTACTAACAATCTTTTTTTTTTTTTTTTTTTAAATAGAGGCATGTTTTATTTATTTATTTGTTTGTTTGTTTTGTTTTGTTTATACAAGCACTGGGTACAGTCAGAAGCGCGGGAGGGTGAGAGAATCCACCAGAGCCAGAGTGGGGAGCAGAACAGGCAGAGGGATCGAAGTACACTGCTGAGGGGAGCAGTGGGCGGCAGGAGAGGTCTGCGCGCCATGTGGGACCCTCCTCCGGTGGCCGGGGAGCAGCCGGGGATCGAACTGGCGCCGCAGAGGCCGCGGGCAGCTTCGCAACCCAGTGCTCAACCGCTGCGCCACCGGGGAGGCCCCCACTAACAATCTTTTTTGACAATCTTTTTGAGTATAAGACTAACTAGAAAATTTGCAGAGACAAAAGCAATTTAACTTTTGACTTATAACAATGATTCTGCCTGGTATAATCATCAGAAATAAGTCTGGTCAAACTGCTATGGAAAATAAAACATGGTTGACTGAAATCTACCAACTTAGACACAAAATGATTTAATGTCTTACAGGGTGATTTATTCAAAATGTTTGGGGTTATCTTTTGGCTATATGTAGAAATCATCTGTTAATCATCTACAGACTAACATCTAACTTCACAGACTCAACCCTAATTAGGAATAAATAATTAGTCAAAGTTACCTTCTAATAAACTCTAGGGCAGCACAATCTAATAGCAATGTAATCTGAGCGACATATATAACTTTAAATTTTCTAGGAATTGGTGCCTCCCCAGTTGTGCAGAGGGTTGAGCGCAGCACTGTGAAGCTGTCCGCAGCCTCTGCAGCACAGGTTCGATTCCGGGCTGGCCAGGGAGATACCCACATAGCTTGGCAAACCTCTCCTGTCTCACCCACTGCTCCCTTCAGCAGTGTTTTTGGTCCATCTGCCTGTTCTGCTCCCCGCTCTGTCTCTGGTGAATCCTCTCACCCTCCTGTGCTTCTGGCCTGTACTCAGTTCTTATATAAATAAATACATCTTTTTTTCAAAAAAAAGTTGGTGAGAAAGAAAATATCTTTAAGAAAAAAAATATATTTTCTAGGAATTACCTAAAAAGTTAAAAAAATTCCAAGTAGGTGAAATTAATTTTAATAAAATATTTGATTTAAAGCAGTACATCTACAATATTATCACTTCAACATCTATCTGTACAAGAAACCGAGGGTTTTTTTTTTTTGTTGTTGCATGCCATCAAAATCTAGTGTTTCTCACATTTTCAGTACATCTCAACTCAGTTCTTCAGCTGCACTGGCCACATTTCAAGTGCCCCACAGGCCACCACATTGTACAGGTTCAGAGACTAGACTAAAAGAGGATTCCAGAAGGCTTGTTACACAATGTTCTAATATGATATTGAAGAGGTATGTAGTAATTGTGTGGCCTTATTTACAAGGTCTGGGTAAATTTTCTTAAAAAGGGATGGCCTGTAATCACTGATATTGAACTTCTCCAAAACTCTGATAATGGGTTCTTAGAGTTAGATTGAATTTTTTTTTAGGAAAAAAAATGCACTGTCATTTCCAGCTTGATCTGTAGCAATTCAAGCACTATTACAATAACAATCTATAACCTAAGATGTGAGTGATGGCTACCTTGGGATAGACTTTATTATTCCAAGAAGTCTCAGGTCAGAGCTCTTAGGCCTGACCACAATTTACCTCCCTTCTCTTTCTTTCTTTGTTTAATGTGCCTAAATTTGGCCAGAGTTAAATTAGTGGGTGGGGCAAAGAAAGACTGCAATATAGGAAAAACTTCTCAAATGAGTTAAATTTAACTGCAGGATGATTTTTAAACCGTTTTTTATGGAAACATTTAAAAATATATACTAGTAGTATATATTATATGAGATATGCTAACGGTAGAAGACATAGCAATGGTAGAGATAAGAGCATAAAGTGCCCACATATACCCATCATCTAACTGCAATATTTACCTGCAGAAATTCTTAGTCATCAGGGTCTGAGAATATTATTTACGTAAAAGACACACTTTAGTCCACGGTTATAGGAACATTACGAAAATCTAATACATTTGAAAAGTATATCATCCAAAATGCTGACATCTGACAAAAGTACTCTCATTTTGCACTGAGAACTGCAAGTTTAGGCTGAAGAGAAGTAAGCACCGAGCAGCTAATGGAGCCCTGAAGAGCCAGCCTGGCCTCCTCTGTGTGAGCAAGTCACCGTGGAGCAGCGCACCGTTTAGTCTCACAATATGTGGCTCAGTGCAGCTCAAGTCCTCCCTGGCTAGAGCTCCAAACAAGATGATTCAATTTCCTGAATTACAGAGCAATGGTCTTTTAATAGTTTCATTTCCTTTGCAATGAAGTTTGGAGAAGAGTTTAAGAGCCATTTTGGTAATAGGATCTTGGTTTTCTTAAAAAAAAAAAAAAAAAAAAGGTAACTGAATTTTTGTGTTTTAGGAAGGCACTGGGCAATCTGGGTGAGAGACCATGTCTGGGAGGCATATGCCACAGGTGGAAGGAGTCTTTGCCATAAATGATTCCACTTTGTTTATATAATAAAGAAACTTGAACTGTGAGGAAGGCAGGGAAAAAAGCTCTTACAACAACCCCTGAAAGTTTTCATGATAAAAAATCTTCTGTGAAGGAAAATCAGCATCAGTCACCTCTGTGGTTTTTAATCCTGGAAGGGTATTATGTGTCTTTTGGCAATTGTGCAAGTCTTCTCTCACACTGATGTTTTCTAAAGCAGGTCCAGGGGTTTTGGAAGCAGACCCACATCTGAATCTGGACTTCACCCTCAGCTATGTGACCTTGACCTGTAAAATGGGAATATGCCTATCTCACTCAGTTTAAGGGGAATTAGAAGAGATGATATTGGTACATTGCCCTTTCTCTAACATCTGGAATATTGTGGTATTCCATAAGCCTTAGTAGTATCCCTTCTTTCATTTCATTTCCTTCACACTGCCCCTAAATTTAGTTACTCATATACAGTTCATGGAAACAGATGCACTTCTGGCTTGGCATTTCCTTAAAATTAGCTCTGTTTCCTAATAAAAGTTAACAAAGCACAAGAAATTTCATCTCCACTACTGGTATGAAATAGAATATATAATTCAGTAGAAATATTAAGTAGGAGAGACAGGTACTCATTTTAGCTAATGTAGCCTTTATTTTAGGTAATATTTTAAGAGCAATCATAATTATCTGAATAAAGGATGCCCATCTATCAGTAATGAGAATATATAAATGGGAAACAGATTGGGTTTCCTGCTGTATCTGGCATCTCTGAGCAGCACATAGAAGCTCTCACGGCCTTCCATTCCTCTTTCCCTATTTTCTACTGTGATCAGCTCTGGGGAGTCAAGCCAGAGTTGTCTCATTCGTACACTGAGTCACAGCTATGAGGGCAAAGCGCAACCATCTGAGGACAGATGATGACCAGGCACCTAATATTTCCACCAGCCAGCTTTAAAAGTGGACTTTGAAACCCTCCCTTCCATAGTCCATCTGTCAACTCCTTCCCAACAGCACACCCTTTGTTTTCTATGAGGGTGGGGTTGTGGAGGTGGAAACAGAGTACCTTTGACAACAAAGAAGGAGGGAGAGAGTGAAAGATTGGTGCTGGGAGTTAGGGAGATAGGAGCAAGAACAGATAGAAACAAGAAGTCAATTCTTGATTGAATGGAGGAGGCCTTCCAGAAATCTTAAGCAAAATTTCAGTTTGTGGGGGCCTCCCCAGTGGCGCAGCCATTGAGCACTGGGTTGCGAAGCTGCCCGCAGCCTCTGCGGCGCCGGTTCGATCCCGGGCTGCTCCCCGGCCACCGAAGGAGGGTCCCACATGGCGCCCAGACCTCTCCTGCTGCCCGCTGCTCCCCTCAGCAGTGTACCTCGGTCCTTCTGCCTGCTCTGCTCCCCGCTCTGGCTCTGGTGAATTCTCTCACCCTCCCACGCTTCTGACTGTACCCAGTTCATGTATAAACAAAACAAACAAACAAACAAATAAATAAATAAAAAACATGCCTCTATTAAAAAAAAAAAATTTCAGTTTGTGAAGTTTGAAGGGAAAATATTTACTTATGAAGAGGGAGCAGGTCAGGGGAAAAAAAGGACTCTTAGCAGTTATGTGTATTAGGGCAAGCAGAGGAGGAGAAGCCGATGGGGAGAACTATCAGTTAAGTCTGAAGAGGTACCCATAAGGAACAATAATCCTTAAATTTAAGTTTTGGAGCAGAGAATGAACACAAAGATGAATAAGACAGTTTCTACTACAGAGTTTCTACTAAGAAAATAGACCACTAATAAGACCACTATTAGGACTTCTAAGAAGAGAAGCATAAAGGAGTGTAGAAACACAAAGGAAGAAAATAGCTTCTAGCTGGTTGGGATTCAAGACTCAGAATGTAGGTCGCAAATCAATCCCATTTCCTTCCTTTGTCCCTTAAGTCAGAGAACCCCCCAAAATGCAGAAAAGGTTGAAATGTAAGGAAAATCAGCTTTGGGATGGTACATCTGGAGAGTCACAGTAGTAGTTAATCCATTTGTAAGAACCTTCAGAAGAGGAAATTTCATACTTTTACTTAGCAACACATTATAGCAGAAGTTGGGCCTATGATTCTATCTGAAGTGCACTTAGCTTTATATTACACTTTTTTTTTTTTTGGTCAGGTAATTCTTTTTTAAGTTTAACCAACATTCTTCATGTTATTGTGTCTGTTAGTGCATGTCAGATCTAGCTGCTTTTGATGGCATTATGGATGAAGACGCAATAGCTACACTTAATTATCTTGCTGTCTGGGTATTCCTTTCAGAGTGATACTTGATTGTATTTCTTCTTCATTGATGAAAAAAACAAAGCTGAGCAATTTCTCTAAATGCTAAAGAGGAGGAAGATAATTCTAGCTTAACAATATAATTGCCTTTGAATCCACAATGTCTATTACCTCTTAGGAAATTTTCCCACAATGAAGTTGCCTTATAAAAAGAAATGACCCTAGTTAAAATGCCCCCTTCCTTTCAACCCTATGATTAGCTGCTGGATTTTGAAATTCCATTTGGTGACCTTGAAGATATCCTTGAAGAACCACTACAGCGCGTCGGAAAAGTATTAGTTCCAAGCAGTTCCCTTATTGCTTTTCCAGTGAGTTGCACACTTTCTAGATTTCCACTTGCTAATATTTGAAAAAATAGCAGACTCTGGGCTTATTATTAGCAGGATGGTGAGGTTAAAAAGAGAAGATCTGGAGATGGTATATTTGTTAATAGCCATCATTAATAATGTTGACAATATGTGATCTTTCACCCTCTGACTCTTGAGAGCTTGGGGACTAAGAATAGCAGGTACTGACTCCTCAGTAGGCCACCCTTTCATCTTCTCAATACGATCCAAGTACATATCAGGAAGGGTAAGGAGTTTGAGACAAGAAAGTCTGCGTGATGTATTGTGAGTGCTCTGATTCCCATGACCTCAGATCTGATTCAGTATTTATACTATAAAAAATTCTTTCTGGGGCCTCCCCGGTGGCACAGCGGTTGAGCGCTGGGTTGCAAAGCTGCCCGCAGCCTCTGCAGCGCCGGTTCGATCCCTGGCTGCTCCCCGGCCACCTGAGGAGGGTCCCACATGGCGCGCAGACCTCTCCTGCTGCCCACTGCTCCCCTCAGCAGTGTACTTCGGTCCTTTTGCCTGCTCTGCTCCCCGCTCTGGCTCTGGTGAATTCTCTCACCCTCCCGCACTTCTGACTGTACCCAGTGCATGTATAAACAAAACAAACAAACAAATAAATAAATAAAACATGCCTCTATAAAAAAAAAAAAAATCTTTCTGCTCATTACAACATAGTTGCAATAATGACCTAAGGTTTTTGTAGCACAGGATTGTAGTTTCAAGTATAAATTTTTATAAGTGGGTATTGGAATTTTGTAAATCTGGTGTTATTTTAGAGTAAATATCTATAAAAATAATAAGAAATTGAAAACAACACCAACTAAACAGAATACCCTAAGGGAGAATAAAATGGCTACTTAAAAGCAGTTCCAGTATTCGCCCCTGAAGTGAAGAGTGTGAGGGAGGGGAGCAAACAATTCTCCTTTGGTCACTGAAATCAAATTCACTATTTCTGTGACAGCAGGAGGTCAAGAAATGCCATGATATTCCAGAGTATTTGATAGGGGAAAAAAAGAAGCAGTTAAAGCCAGTTTCCTGGCATAATATGAGTAATAATATCTAGCACTATTGAATCCAACTTTAGTAAAAGTGAAAACTGTTTCTAACCTCACAGGGCAACAACTCCATGCTGTTGGTAATCTATATATCTCCAAGTTCATCCAAGTCCCTCTATCTAAAGTAAGAGCAGTCTGGCTGCCAGCCAAGCTCTGAAGTTAGAGAATAAGGATGTACACAGAAGCACGTGAGGGCATGTGAGTGCTTCTCCTGGTTTTGCAAGTCGCTTGGGATTCACTGAAATCAGTACTCTGGGCTGCTAGCTTGACAGTTGAATGAGAAGAGGTAATAGTAGGGGGTATGGAGACATGGTCATGTGAGTGGAAGCACAGAGGAGGTACTGTACGGCATGTACAGTACCTCAAAGAGGGACTGTACCACCATGACAGTACATGGGAGTAAGTTAGTAAGTTACTAAGATGTCATAATTGGACAAATATATTTCTAGTTTCTTAAACACTGTTTTTGGATTTCTACAATAATCCATGGGATAAGAATAGTATACTATAATGATGTAAAGTGATCATAATATATAGATATATCAAAGTGCTGTATACTATAAATCCAAAAAATGTAACATGTAAATTAATAAAGTAAAAAAAAATTCACGCTTTATGTAAAAATAAGGAAAAGTTCCATAAAAAGTAAAGAAAAAAATTTAATAACCACTCATAGACAAACTACCCTAAAATAACAATCAACAACATTTTGGTATATATTTTTACCAAACGTACATTTTAAAATAAATATTTGCATCCTGTGGTTTATTTTATAACCTATTCTTTTCATCACTTTGCACAATAGTTATATTAAACATTTCAGGTATAAGAAAAAGCTTTTGGAGGCCCTTCACTCATGCCCAAGTCCACTCCTCTGTTCAGAGAATGGCTACTTTTTATTCAGATCTGGAAGATTTCATAAATGAGTGACCATTTGAGTAGGGCCTTTAAGAATGATAGGATTTTTGAAAGGAATCAATAAAGAAGGTATATATTTTAGGTAGAAGAAACAGGAAGAATATATTTGTGAATGTAGAAAGACCCAAGAGAGCACACACATTTGGCTGACACAGGGAGTTCTGGAAGTAAGGAAGGGACTGACTGTTAAGCTACAGGATATGAACAAAGAGGAATGACAAGAAGCAGGAACTAAAAAAGGTAGATGATGGCATTGGGAGTTGGTGATGGGTCATCAGTGGTAACTCTGCAGAGAGGGTAACTTCCAGTTCAGTTGGTGGAGGCAAACTCTAGGAAGCAGAGCTTTGCAAAGACTATTTCTTACACCAAAAAATTAGGCTGTGAAGGTAAGAGCAACTGAGTAGAAGCTTTAGGCTTATTAGAGTCAGTAGCAATGGCTGCAGATTTTTTTCTAAGATGACAAACCAGTAAGACTTGGTATTAGTGACATTACCTCTGAGACAGGAAGAAAGAAGGTAAGTATTGAAATAAAGAAAGAGAATATAAGATGAACATACACACTCAATAATCTTAATTTTCTTAGTGGGGAGGAGAGATCATCTTCTGAGAGAGAAGGGAGAGAGTGGGAACTTGAGAGAAACTCAAGAAGGGAAGTAGAGCAAGACTACAGATTAACACTGGGTGTCAAGTTCAGGCTGGACAGCATGACTTTGTAGTGGCATGCTAATGGAGTCATACAATACTCCCAGGACATGCTGAATCTCAAGGGCACCGACTCTGAGTGAGATGGTGGAGGAATCCAGGGTTGGCACTGACTGCAGATCATGCAGAAGTCAGGGTATTTATGAGAACAGTCAGTTGTTGAGCATTGTAAATAAGCTGGAATAGAAGGAAGCTTAAAGGGACCTAATAGCCTGGATAGGGTCGGATAGAAGATGGGGTAGCTGGAAAGGCTACTCTATAGAACGTAGGTGTCCTGAGGGTGTTTTTGTTGGAGGCGGAGATGGGCTACATCACATCAATGTATCTTAGTGCACACCTGCAAGACACCATGCAACCCAGAAACAAAGTTCAGAGTACCAACCAGTCATCTGAAGTAAGCAGAGTTTGATTTTGATAATTTGTTCTTCTAATTTCTGAATCAAACAGAATGAAAAACACACTGGAATATGCATCAGCCCTAGAAATAGTCGAACAGCTGAGTCTTCAACAAGAGTGAAGACCATGGGACTGTAACTCAGGAAGGTTTTGGCTGGCAGCCACTTGGCAGTCAATTCACTGTACACGGAAAGGAATGGCTCAGGTTAATGAAGCACCTAAATTACTTAAAGGCATTTAGGTTACAAACTATGCAGTAGGTGGGGTATGTCAGCCACAGAAAAAAAGGGTGTCTCCCATAGAAAATGTATAAAGAAAGTGTGTAAGAGAATATCAAAACACAGGCAGGCCATTTGTATCAAAGAAGTTTACCTTTCTTTCCCAACCTCCTATAAAACTAAAAAACTGTATGGCACATGTCAAAACTAGCAGCTATAAATGCTCACAAGCATAAACAAAGCTTTGAATTTTAATTATGCAATGTATTGGAATGTTAATAAGCAAGAAAATGCAGGAGGTTTTTTTTTAACTTATAGAATTAGAGTTAATCACTTGTACACTGCAATTTAATGATGTATGATAATTTGAGAAGATGCAAGACTTTAAAGTCAAAAATTGTTACCAAATCTCTTACTCTAAAATCTAGAGGTAATAAATATTTTACAGGAGAAGTTAAAGGGGAGGGAGCAACTACAAAGTTAACAAAAGGAAAAAAAATATATAATACCTCTGGATTCATTATCCCTTCTTTTTTGAAACAGCTGTAGAACATGTCCATGGAAAACACTTCACTCCAGAGATATCCATAATATTGGCCATCATATCCCCCTGCCAAATGCCCAAAGGTAGCTGGCATATTTGTGCCTTTAAAGAAATAAACATTTCAATCAATGTGATAGCAAATGTTAGTTATCAGGTCATCAGTTAGCTAAGGTTTCCCTGTGGGGAGTCCAGATGTGGGAGGAGAGAGAGATAGGATCTCACCTCTAGTACTCTCTGGGTTTATGTGTGCCCTTGGCCAAGATGTTTACAAACTTCTCTCCTGTGATGGCTCAATCTCGGAGCCAGTTTCGGCCCTAAGCTCTGGAATGCCTGACCACAGTTTCAGAGGTTTTGTCCACACCCATCAGTCAGCTCAGTGTTTCAGAACTCTTCAGTTTGTTTGGATCCCCTTAAACATGTATGTATTTTACAAATGTTTTATTATTATTAAGCCTATTCTCTGCCACATCTCTTTTATATTTAAAATATGTCAGCATGGAATTTATTGTTGGTTATTAATTACTGAAAAAGAACTTGAAAAGTTTAGAAAACCTTATATCAATTCAATTTACGTTTACAGCCACTTTAAAAAGGATTTTGTCAAAGTAGACTGAGGCATCAAGTTGCTGTGTGGTCTACTATAAACATATCATAAAAGAAATGAGGAGAGTAGACTGATTCAACCACCTAGTTTTACCTTTTAATCTCCATAAATGTAACTGATTCATTTGAATAACAATTTCCTCGGTGAACAAAGGTCGCCATACTAAGAACATATACTTGTACATATACAATTATATACTACATGTGCATGTGGGCTTATAATAGATCAGTACAAATTTAAACACACCTGTGTTCACACCTACCGACCCGCCCACATGAATCTCATAAATATTAGCTCAGAAACTGCTAATCCAACTGCCTTAACTGATCTCAGAAGAAGAAACAAGATAGAAATGTGTGCTTCTCTCTAAAATTGCCCTTTCTGCACATTTCTCACTGAAATCATAGGGAGGGAGGAGCTAGGCAGGTGCTGCCAAACGTGAATGGCTTTCTTTGCTCTGGGGTGGAGGCCAATTGGTCACGCCTGATTACACTAAAATGCAGCAAAGCTGGAGCCACCTTCCCTTCAAGCACATTTGGACAGGATAACTCATATGGACATAGCATGCTTATCTGAAAGTCACAGCCTGATTATAGAAATCAGAAACAAATTAAATTTGGTAATCTGCTGACAAATTCTTACTTTCCCTGGCAGTGTTGATAAAGCCCAGACTTCACAGGAACAATGAAGTCATCTAAGAATTTACAAACCTGGAGTAGCTGCAACACCTAAAATTTCTTTGCAGTATTTGGCATATTCATTTGCAGCATCCAGCGATGGGTTGGTGTGGAGAGACTGATCAACTTTGCTCAAAACAATCTGGCGTAAGGTCAGAAGACCTAGTAACATAAGAATGTTTGGCATGTTTTAGAGAAGACAGAACTATATGTTCTAATACCATAAGATCACAGATTTCAAAAACCAATTCCTATGGAATTCATTATAAAATAGGAGTAAGACATCTCATTCTATTTAAGATTTAAAAGGAATCATTTTTGTTTTCTTGGACAAATTCAGTATTGCAACATATTTAGTGGTCTTCCTTCTCATGTTAGCACTCTTGATATACTGTCATTATTTTTTAAAATATATATTTAAAAAAATTTATTTATTTTTGCGTAGAAGAACTGGGGAGTAGGCCAGAGGGGTGGGATAAAGAGGATTCACTAGAGACAGAGTGGGGAGCAGAACAGGCAGAATTACTGAAATACACTACTGAGCAGAAGGGGAGAGAGTAGAGATCTGCTGCACCATATGTGGGTTAGGTCCCTGGCCGGGGATCTGCATTAGGCCTTAGCGGTGATAGTGCTGAGACTTAACCCCTAGGCAAACAGGGAGGCCCCTGTACTGCCATTATTAAAGGGGAAGTAAGTTCTGTAGAAGAAGATGCCAAGGATTCTCTACTAAGCAATTCTAATTATTTTCCTTTTTCAGAAATGTAAAGTCATACCTGTGTTAACCAGTCTGGAAGCAACAAGTTTTTCAAGGAGATCATCCAAAACAGGGCTTCCATCTTTATAATGCTTTGACAGTCTTCGGAGGGAATCAATGTCCCACACCCAATTTTCAAGCATTTGTGATGGTACCTCTACAAAGTCAGTTTCCACATTTGTTCCACTAAATCGTGCAAAATCAGTCTAGAAAGTAAACACAGAGGTCATTTGCAAAAACAAAACAAAACACTGAATGAAAACTATGTATGTGATGAATTATAATTAAGGCTCTCTAAAACTTAAATCAAAATCAGAGTCAACTCCCCCTTTGATAAACAATTAGAATAACCTCAAATTTAAATGAAATAAAAAATAGCAGTTAAGCTGCATGAGAAATAACCTCTGAATACTCTATATAAAGGTATTATTCTGTTCTTTTGAACCATAAATAAACTTAGGACAGTCATCAGGAAATTCTAAGAAAAAAATCAGACTGAGCTAAAACAGATAGTTAGCTTTGAAAGTAAAAATATCTTAAATGAACTTCCCATTAAAAATGGAGACTGACAATCTTAAACCATTTCTCCTTATCTCTCCTTTCCATTTGTTTACTTCTATTTACTCAATATGTGCTTTTTCTGAGGTACTCGTCATTCTATTACCTAATTACTCAAGCTTTAGTCAAAATTAATTAGAGTTAAATTATAATTCAGACAGAAACTCTGCAATGTGTGTTCTAAATTTTAAATAAGTGGTCCTAAGGTAACTTCATGGAAAGCCTGAGTTGTACCTCTCAGACTGCTGAGAAGATGTCACCTGAAAACAAGAAGCCACTTCAGTGGGTGTTATGACTATGTATTAGTTGGCAAGTGGGGAGAGTTAATTGCAGCTATAGCAAAAGAAAAACAAAGGATAGGGCCTTGCTGGTGGTGCAAGGGGTCAAGACACAACCTAGGAAGCTATATGCAGCCACTGGAGCTAGAGTTTGATCTCCGGCCAGAGAGCTACCCACATGGCGCAGCAGATCTCTCCTGACTCGCCCGCTGCTCCCCTCAGCAGTGCATTTCAGTCAGTGTGCTTGTTCTGTTCCCCACTCTGACTCTGGTGAGTCCTCTCACCCCCCTCACCTCTGGCCTGTACCCCAGTTCTTGTATGCGTAAATAAATAAATCTTTACAAAAAAAAGAAAAAGAAAAACAAAGTATATACTCAGGAGTTAAAGCATGTGAAAATAAAGGTCTTATTCTAAGGGTCTGGGCTAAGAATTAAAAAGAGTTGCTCCTTACAATAGCATCAATGTGCTCTTTTTAAAGAGTTGAGCTATGAATGACATATATTAGTTTCAGGTGTACAACTTAATGACCTGACATCTGCACAAAAAGCAAGATTGTCACCATAATATATCCAGCTACCCCGTGTAATCATAGAAAGTCACAAAATTTGTTCAAAACTTTTTTGAAAAAAGAACGTTCAGTAAATTGCTGGATGAGATGTCAGAAAAGCTCCTGAGCCTAAAGACAGGAATTCACTAGAGCAAGATGGTGTTTTTTAACCTTTATAACATCTACATCACCATGGCAAATTGCCTTTGGCAGAGGAGATTTAGCATTTACCCAACTGGGTCATCTGCGGAATGGGGGGTTATCTTTCCGTTGTCTGTCCCTAAACCTGTGTCCTGTTCCCCCTGCCTTTGGATGTTTTATACACCAGTCTTCTCTGACTTCATCATTCCTGGGGCTGTAAAGGGAAGGGAAGGAAGAGGGACTTAAGTACTGGAGAAGGCAGCAGATGGGATGCCAAATCAGCAGCAAATAACCATTCTGCTTTTGGCCCAGGGCAGAGGCACAGATGTCAGCGCTATCTCACATACTGCCTTCTCTTCATGCAAAAAAATGTTTTGCTTGACTTCCCCGTATAATTGTGTTAATTCTAGATGTTAAGAGCTGCAAATACTAAGGGGCCGGGAGAAACTAACTTCTCTAGACACTGGAATTAGGCCAATTCTTGTTTGAGGACAATCCAATAAAAATTCTTAACAGAGGGCCTCCCTGGTGGCACAAAGGGTTAAACACCACACTATGAAGCAATCCGCAGCCTCTGCAGCACGTGTTCAATCCCTGGCCGGCCAGGGAGCGACACACATGGCGCAGCAGACCTCTCCTGTCTTGCCCGCTGCTCCCCTTAGCAGTGTATTTCGTCAGTCTCCCTGTTCTGTTCCCCACTCTGTCTCTGGTGAATCCTCTTACCTCCCCCACCCCATGTCTCTGGCCTGTACTCCAGCTCTTGTATGCATAAATAAATAAATCTTAAAAAAAAAAGATTAAAAAAAATTTAACAGAGAAAGAGGGTAGGCTTTCAGGAAAGTGAGTACTTTGCCTCTTTTTGATAAATAATCTTCTAAAATAGAAGATAAAATAATCTTCTACAATAATTATAAAATAGCCAATATCTACTGAGACTTTGCTATATCCAGCATTATGCTAAGCTCTTTACATGAATTGTCTGATTTAAGTTAAAAGATAATTGTATAAAGATAAGGAAACTGAGACATGCCAAGATTGATACACAGTTTGGATTCAAAACCAGGTGGTCTCACTTCAGCAGCCACAAATTTATCCCAAATGCTATAATTCCTCTCTATATATTTTCTATATTTTATAGAAAAAGGAAAAAGTATTAAAAGTTTAAAATATTGATACCAGCATTGTCAGGCCTAGTCTCCCAGCCATGAACAGATCTCAGGCTGCAGGGGCAGTGCTGAACCCCAGCCACTAGACCCCCAGGGGTTGGTGTCTCATGAAGCCGCAGCAGGAACTTCGCAGACTCTCAGGTAAGCAAGCGAGAAGAAGCAGGTTTGTTTATAGAAAGAAAAAGTTTATTGAGGAGAAAAAGAGCAGAAATAAAGTGGGACTCCCAGGCCAGGAAACCAGGCATGGGAGGGGCAAGGAGGCCAAAGTGGAGTCCTGTCTCAGGGAATATATACTTTCTTTCCCTGATTATTCTAAAGCTCCACCAGCCTCTTTGTGATTGGTTAGTTCTCGGCTGTCTCACTTAATTTGCTACTGAGTGGGGGATCTTCACATTCCTTATCTAACAGCTTTCTCTTTCCTCATACCTGCCTCTTCTCACTTGCTTGCCTGAGAGCCTGCGAAGTTCCTGCTGTGGCTTCGTGAGACACCAACCCCTGGGGGTCTAGTGGCTGGGGCTCAGCGCTGCCCCTGCAGCCTGGGCTCTGTTCCTGGCTGGGAGACTAGGCCTGACAATTCCGGTATCAATATGATATTACTAAATGACAGGTCGTACTCGAAGAGATCTAAAGTAAAAAAGTTGTATATCAAACTCATCTGTATGTAAACAGTAAAGTGAGATTTCTTACATTTTAGTTTCCCTCAGCCCTTTAGTATTTACAGCTCTTAATCTCTAGAATTAGCACAAAAAAGTGAAGTTTCTTAACTGACTTCCTCCAAATACTGCAAGTGTTTTTATTTTTTTTTAAAGATTTATTTTATTTATTTATGCATGCAAGAACTGGGCTATAGACCAGAGGTACAGGGGGTGAGAGGAGTCACAAGGGAAAGAGTGGGAAGAACAGGCAGATCTACTGAAATACACTGCTGAAGGGAGCAGTGGGTGAGACAGGAGAGGTCTCCCTGGCCAGAGATCCAACTCCCACAGCAGTGGCTGGCGTTAGCTTGATAGCGCTGAGACTTTAACCCCTGCACCCTAAACACTGCAAGATTTTCAAAGCTCAAACAGAAGGCTGCAAAGAGCCTTTGTAAACATCCATCCAGGACCTGGGGATCTATAATACTAACTGCATCATTTGCTAAAAATTACAGCTTTCAAGTAAATACTGATAGCAAATAAAGGTGAAATCATAACATCAGCTACCACTAGACACTATTTTGACAAAAACAGAAATTTTGTATATCTCAACTTAGTGAACATTTCTCAGTCAGTATTCGTAGATTGGAGGGAAAGCAAGCCCAATTAACAACAAAATGCTTGTGCATGTTTGGTGGTGGTGGTACTGTTTCAGAACTTAGAAAAACATGAACTAGTGTAACTCATTAGTTAAAACTGAGTAAGATAAGAGTTAACAGTTACTTCACACAGAGTACAGAAGAGAGGGTTTATTCTATTCAAAGTCATCTTGTGGGGGAGAGAGCACAGGGAATGAATGAACAGATCAACAATGCCTTCTAAAGAACAAAAGGAAATGGTTGCAAGGAGTTAAAGCTAAAAATAACTCAACTGCTTACCAATTTCCCGAAAGTCAGTCATACTGTTTCTTGTGTGCCCTTTGGGCAACAGAAACTAAATATTTCTTGAATGAGGAGGACAAAGATCCTGTAAAATCCAAAAGCTCAATTTCTAGCAAACAACTAAATTCTGAAGAGAAAGGATTTCATAGGCAGCCACTGTGTATGTCCATACAGCAACCATGGGCAAGTCTTAGGATCCAGCAGCCTGATAGAGACTGACTTGTAAAACAGCACAGCTGCTGGATTATTACTCACTGTTTACCAGCCAGCACACAGTTCCAAAAAACCCTAAAAAATACTTCATACAGTTTTAAATATGAACAATTTGAAGTTGTCAAATATAGTAGCATATGGGTCACAGTAATTATTGATGCCAATATACTTCCCAGTAAAGCAAAATATTTTAGAATAAATACAAAATAATGCAATTTGCAAATCATTTTGCCAGTGACACTTGAAAAAGTTTTGGAGCATTATTGTTGCAGAGAATATTTTTATAATAAAAGCCTAGAAAACAATGTAAACTTAGATTCCTGTTTGGTTAGAAGTTCTTAAGAGCAAGATTTTTGTTATCTTTTTAAACAGGTAATAGGATGCCTAAAATGTACTCTACTATGGATTTTACAGCAGATGATTTGATGCTATAGAGAAACCTCAATTCATACAACACAGTGAGAGCTGGAGCAATATTAAATTAAAATAATAAGCCAAATTCAATAAACTCAAATAAAGCTCAAAAAGTCATGTGAGCTTTTGGCATACATAAAGACCAAAATCCTATGAGTTTTTATTCTAAGGAAGAGACCAGTTGCCTTTAGTAGTTACTCAACTCAAAGAAAAGACACTTGCTGAAATCAGTAAGTATCTTGTGCTTACAGAAAAGAACAGGTCTCAAGAGAAAGGGCCCTGGCTGGTGAGCCCATCTGATCTACCCCTAAAT